CTGTGGCAAGTGCCTGAAATCCCATCTACTTGGGAGGCTGAGGAAAGAAAATCACTTAAGCCCAAGAGTTTGAGGTTGCTGCAAGCTGTCATGCCACAGCACTCTACCAAGGGCAACATAGTGAGGGAAAGGAAAAAGGAAAGGAAAGGAAAAAGGAAAGGAAAGGAAAAAGGAAAGGAAAGGAAAGGAAGGAAGAAAGAGAAAGAAGGAAGGAAGGAAGGAAGGAAGGAGGGAAGGAAAGAAAAGAAATAATATTAAATGTCTAGTATAATGCTTGATAAATAGTTGATGTTTTACCCATTTTTCTCCTTTACCCAAACCCCCAAAACAAAGTGACTGTATAGGCCAAGGGTTGGCAAACGTTTTCTCTAAAGGGTCAGACAATAAATAATTTTGGTATTCCAGGTCACATAGTCTCTCTTAAAACTACTCAACTCTGCCACTGTAGTAACCACAGACAACACATAAATGGATAAGTATGTTGTATTCCACTAAAACTTACTTGATGACTAAAACTTTACTTGGGGATACTAAATTGAATTTCAAATAATTTTCATATGCCAGCAAGTATTATTCTCCTTGGTTGGGTTTTCTCCCAACCATTTAAAAAATGTAAAAACTATTCTTAGCCTACAGGCTATACAAAAACAGGCAGTCAGGGAGATCTGGCCAACAGGCTATGGTTTGCAGACCCCAGTAAATCTGAAGTGCCCACATTACATGTAGTATTCAGAATGAAAAATTCCTAAGAAATTTCAGATTTCATAATTTCCCAGGTTTGTGAGAGCAACTAGTTAACTCTTCTCTCCTTTACTTGTCTTTTTATAACACAGTGTTACTTGCCATCTACATAACTCTTCAAGGATGCTGAAAGAATGAAGTGAATATAATTTATTATGTGCTTTAAGTTATTCTGTAACTTGCACTATATAAATTAGGTTAAATTCCTTAAACCTAATAGAAATGGTTATGCTACTAATCATTTACAAAATTAACTGATATGTTCTGAAAAAAGATGTTAATCATGAAATCATTTAAGTAGTTACAAGCTTTTAAAAATCTTTAGAACATATTTATGACTATCCTCTTTGTGAAGCTAGCCAAGGAAAGGAGTAGAAAATCCAAGTACTTGACATTTGAAAGGATGATCCTAGCAGGCAGCATGAGGTACAAACTGGCTGACCTTGAAAAAGCTAGGGAAGCACACTGTATTTTAAAACTGCTGCAAGAGAAGCAAAAGCTGTTCAGATGGCACATGACTGACCTGTTTTTATGAATCAAACACATTTTTATCTTCAAGATGGGGCCTTCTGGGAGTAAACACATATTGGTAGTAAGAATACAAACCTGTAACACTTGTGGCAATAAAAGTAACATCATTAAAAGTCTTCCAACTTCTTCTCTTGAAACCATCAATCATGAAGAAAAAGGCTTAGATTTTACCAACAAACCAACCTTTTGGGGCCTATTCTTTAAGTCAGATAGACAACCTATAAAGGTTATGGTTTTTAAAGTCCCTCCAATCTCATTCACACATGAATGTGAAAAAAAAGGACTTCCCCTTAGAGCAGAGCATAAATGGCAGTCATTCTTTCATGTCCCCACAGGAAGACAGTTGAGGATAACTGGAAGAATGATTGCCTCTCCCCCCAAAATGAGGCAACATCCTACAAGAGAATGGTTGGTGCGGCCATTCCATCTCAAAAGATGGCTCTGGTGAACATGTGGTTGAACAGGTTAAGATTAAATCCTACAGAAAGAATTATCACAAAACAGGACAAGGACCCCCAGCCTACCCGCCCACACATAAGCCC